CAAGAGGAGTCAGGCCCCAGGGAGAAACTTCCCTTTCTCTGAAGGCAAAACGGGCAAAATCAATCTGCCGTGACTGCAGCCAGCATGGTGGTTTCTCCGGAAGCAGTGAGTTGACCGGCAGTGAGGCTGAGGTGGGGAGGCACAGGGCTGGAGGGCACCGACCCAAGCCGGGGCGGTGACCACCAGGGTGTACAAGCAAGCTGGGCGTTCTGTGCACTTGAGAGTGGGTAATGCGACGTCTATTTTCTTTACGTGCTATAATTTTATAATAAATCATTGTGGATAACAACTCTGTGTCTGAGAAACATTTGCTGCTACTGAGTTCTCTTGAGTTCGAGTGCAAAGGCTGAAGAAGCCCAGAAAGGGTAAAATATTTACCTGAAACGCCCCGCACCTCTGTGGCGAGTCCACACTAAAGAAGGGCCTGCATGTCCTCCTTGTCCCACACAACTAGAAAGTCCACAAGGAGTAGATTGTGTCTTTGTGTCTCTGGCACAGAGTTCCCTGAGCACCCCAGTCAGCAACTGTTGGGCAGGTCAAACCTGGCAGCAGCACAGTCATTAAGAGCACAAGCCCTACAGCACACTTCTGTAGCTTTGTGGGTTCAACCTTCTATACCTCAATTTCTTCAACTGCAAAATGGGGAAAACAATTTTTTTTAAAGATTTATTTGTACATACAGATCTGGGGTACAGGCCAGAGGTGCAGGGACAGTGAGATGATTCACCAGAGACAGAGCGGGGAGCAGAACAGGCAGATCAACGAAGTACACTGCTGAGGGGAGCAGCGGGCAGGTCTGGAGAAGTCTGCCCTGCCATGTGGTCACCTCCGGGCTGGGTGGGGATCAAACTCATGAGGAAGTGGCTTTAGCTTCTTCTTAGAGCTGTGCTTTAACCGCTGCGCCATCAGGGAGGGCCAGGGAAAAACAATTTTACCCACCTCATAGCCTTGATCTGAGGATTACATGAGTGACTAAGCATTAAGCACTTAGAACAGTACTTGGCTCCAAGCGAGTGTCATGTAAGTGTTGCTGCAAGCATCCCTATCATGGAGAAACTCATGAGCCAGCTCGGAGAGAACTGCTGCTCCCCCAGCTGTGTGATTTCAAGCCAGTTACCGGTCCTGAGCCTTCAATTCCATATCTGTTATACAGGTAATAACAGCTGTCTATTGTTGTGAAAGCAAAATGATGTGTGTAAGGCATCTGACACCTATCCTGAACTCCTTGTGTGCAAGAACCAAGCTACCACAGCCCTCTCAGCTGCTCAGCACAGGGAGGCGCCCAGTGCTGGGGCCCATGAATACTTTCCCCACCCACCAGTCTCCAGCTGGGCTTCCATCCTCCTCTGGAGCTGGCAGACAGCAGCATCTAGTGGAAAGTTCTGGAACTACATGCTGGTCAAGCACCACTTCAAGTATCGGAGCAAGGTCTTTCAGTGTCTTTCAAAGCTCATGCCTGACAAGACAAGTACACGCCAGGTGCCCGTCATGTCCAGGACATGGACACAGGGGTCTAGAGAAAATGAAAGGAGAGGTTCAAGGTGGCCACAGAGGGGTGGGGGATCACAATTACAATTTCACCCTCAATATGCTAACTTAAATACTTGTATCTTAAAGAAAATATAAACATTCGGTAGGGGATTTGGCACATAGAACTCCTCGGGAAGTTCCTACAATTGCAGGAGTGATTTTAAAGTGGCCATTTCCTGCCAATGACTCAGTTAAGACCAAAGCAATGAAAGGAAAGCTTGGGCCAGAGAGTGATTCCCAGGGTCTGGCTTAGGGTCTGGCTTAGCTTCCCAGGTCCCACGGAGACAGCACACACAGAGTGCTGGACTCCAACCCCTGACTGAAGAGCGAGGAGAGGCCAGAAGTAGCATAGATCACCAGTAACTGGGGGGTAAAGGATGGCATGGAAGGGCTGTCGTGTCAAACCGGCTTATAGAGTAGAGGTGCAGAAAGGGTGGGTCGCTGGGGAAGGAAGGAAGTGGTGGGCGATGTACCACACAGAGCACAGAGCAGCAGGGGAAGGCTGCACAGGGGGACAGTCAGGACCCCATCATCTGGGGACGCTAAATGACAGGCCAAGGAAGCTGCATTTAACTTGGTCAGGGAAGTCGGTAAGAAGGTAACCTGATCCCAGGGGAATCAAAAAGGGAAAAATTAAGTAGCTCTGGAGCCAGGTAGCTACTACAGCGGCCCACACCTTTGGAGTGGTACAGGAGGTCCTGGGAGGAGTGAGAAGCAGGGGAAGGCTCGGAATTGGTAGTATGGGGGTGGGTAGGTGACAATTTAAAGTGGTGAGTTTAGGGAGACCTAAGGGGGACAAAGACTGAGCAGGAGAGAAAGGCAGAGCAGGACTGGAGCAGGACTTGGACTTGATCTCGGGCTGGGAGGTAGGGGCACCTCATGTGGGCTAGGCAGGGGAGGGGGTCATCAAGTGAGGGCTGAAGACCTCCACTTGGAGATAGGGAGAAAGGGGCACGCTCAGAAGAGGCTGCGCTAGAGGAGGAGGGAGCAGGGACAGTCATTTGCAAGTCACTTACCAGTGAGGGGGAGGAAGACAAAGGCGAGGAGGGAGACTTGGGGAGTGGGGAGCAGGGACCACAGGGACATAATCAGGCTGCCTCTTTCTCCAGGTTCCTAAGGACAGTGGAGGAGGAGGCACAGACGCCAGAGGAGAGACCTTTGAGGCGGAGACAGGAGATCCTGGGATGCCTGGGACAGTGTCAGAGTCACAGGGAGATCGGGTCAGGGTGGCAGAGGGGCAACCGTTGGGTTTGTGGTTGGGGATTGTGATGGGTGACCCTGGAAAGGCAGTTTCAAGGGAGAGAAGTCAAGCCGCAATGACTTAAGACCACAAGCAGAGGGGGAGGGGCACCGAGGTTTCCAGAGGGAGGTGATGGAGAGCAGGGCTGGACAGGGAGGAAGGCAGGCAGAGCCCTTGGAAGCAAAATGTAGGGAGGCGCTGGCTCTCCGGGTGCTGCAGGTGGCCCCCATAGTGAGGGTAGAAACCCAGTCTGCGGAAAGATGGAAGCCCCTGAGAGCAACCCTCTGAGACTGAAGACCCAGGAGCAAACTTAGAGAGCCTAGAGAAGCTAGACCCTTCCACCTCCACATCAGGCCTCCACTTGGTGGTCAGTGGCAGAGCCCTGGCGGACAATGAAGGCTGGGGGAGGGGCTGCGAAAGGACACGCCTGCCTGCCTGCTTATGGAGGGGGTCCCTGCAGTGGGCACAGTAAGACAGAAATCGGGGTTGGGGTGGGGGAGCACTTCACTTCTTTGGACCCTCCCTGGGAGACTGAGCTTCCCCCAGCTTGGGGGAATATCAGGGAGAAGGAGTCTCAGTATCCATTAGGAAAGCAGGGGTCTATCTCCACCTTTGCTCCAAGTGGCTTCACTTCAAGGAGTTTCCTGGTGCTGCAGCCCACACTAACCTCCCCAACAAGGCTTCCTTCCTCACCTCTCCAGCCCCCAAGTCTAGACAAGTGTCTCCTTCTCAGGGCTCAGTGTCTGTAGTGGAGTAAATCGTGGCACCCAAAAGAAATACACCTCCTAACCCCCCTCCAGAAACTGTGGCTGTGATGGTATTTGGAAACAGGGTCTTTGCAAATAGAATTAAGCTAAGGTTATGAAAATGAGATCATCCCAGGTTATCTGAGTGGTCTTCCATGCACTGTCAAGTGCCCGTAAAGAGGCTGGGTGAAGACAGAAGCCGCTGTGGGCGTGGGGCAGCCCAGTCCTGGGAGGCAGAGCGAACAGAAGCTGCCAGAGGTCTGCAAAGCTTCTTCCCTAGGGCCTTGGAGGGAGCCTACCCATCCCCACCCCCCAGCCCTTTGCTCAGAAGGGCCCCGCTGGCCTCCAGAGCTGGGACAGAATTAATGGCTGGGGTTTAGGGTTGTGGAAATTAGTTAGGGCAACTATAGAAAGCTAATACAGGTTCTTATTCGTTAAATGATCAGAAGTTTCTAGGAATGCTTCCAGGCTTGAGGTCCTTGGAATGAAAGCATGCAAGGATGTGACCAAAAGGTGTGCTTTTAATCTCCACGCCCACCCTTCCAGGTTGAGGTTTCATACTTTACTTGCAGGGGAAGGAGGCAGCCAAATTAAGGCCTCACCTCCCACTCGGCAGAGAGTATTACAAAGAGTATTTCATGGCCCCCACCCCCTTCCTCCTCGACAGAGCTCTCATCCCTCTCTGGCAGGTCGAAAGGGCCAAAGCTGGCAGGACCACGTTGCTAAAGGCAAGGAGTTTTTACTAACAACAGCCTGCTTTTCTGTATTTCTCTGTGCAAACGCGATCCTCTCTTCACAGACTTTCTCCCCACCCCCTCCCATACTTCCCCAGCCTTCCCCATTCTTGGGGGGCAGGCTAAGATGGATACCCCTGAAGCAGAGGAATGGAACTCACTCTCCTGATTTCCTCCCTCCTCCCCACAACACAGCTGGAGGGGGGAGGGGAGGTCAGCAGGGTTCATAAAGGCCAGATGTTGAGGAGAAAGAGAGCAGTGCCCACCCCACGCCCACCCACCCCACCCCCACCATCCCCAGAGAAAGAAAAAATTGAGGCGGCTTTTAAAACAAACAAAACTTTTTAGTCCAAAACAGTTTTCTCAAGAATCTGCTCTATGCAAACAATAACAACTTTTTACAAAGCATTTTCACAGAAAAGGAGACAAGTCCTTCCCCAGTATCGTATGTGGGAATTGTTCCTCCCTTGCCCCATTTTTGGGGTAAGGGTGCTATTCACTAGTATGGGCACAAGGGTCTCTGACTCCCTAGTTTGTGGCAGACCCGAAACCCCAGGCCCCTCTCGCAGACTTTAAATCTCCCTAAAAGCTAACCTCCCCTGACCTCACCTGGGTGAGGGGAAAGCAGTGGCCTTTCAGGGACTCTAGGGGATTGGAGGGCGTGGTGGTCCAGGCCTATCACCCCCCTCCCTCCTCCCCCCCCCCCAGAAAACAGAACCTCTGACCTCAAAACTAATCCCCTGGCCCTGCCCCCTTCTGATCCATCAGGTCCCTGACAACTCCCGAAGTGCCTCAAACTGATGGAGGGAGGGGGGAGCGGAAGGCACCTCAGCCCTGTTCCCATCCGAATCCCAACTTTCTCCTTTCAAACCCCACTAGACCCTTGTGGGTAGGCCAAGCCCCTTTCATTTGCCCTCCACAAAAAGCAGCTTGTCTTGTTACTGCTACCCTTTACGGGGGAGGGGGACTTCGTTTGGGTGTCAAAAGAAAGGACCCAGGCCAGTCTCTACCCCCTCCCATGCATAAATCGTGGAGCACCACGGAAGGCAACTCCTTTGGTCTGACTTTATTGATTTCGCCCACCTTACACTTCCATGACTTTCCCTGGGACAATCCGGGCCCCTTCTCCAGGCAAAGTCTGCACTTTTGGAAGGGAAGCAGCCCCTCAATCCTGTCCTCCTGATAAGAGTACTGGCTAGTTTTGAAAAATCCTCTTTTACCCACCAGACCTTATAAATTGAAAGCAAACAGGGAACAATGAAGAGGGAATCTCCAAAACTGGACAAAAGTGAAAGGCTGGTGGGTGAGAGTGAAGATCTCACCAAGTAGAGGTCACCTGACTTGGGAGACCTAGGGGAAAAATGCTGGAAGGGGTGATCTTCCCCTTGTCCAAGCTACCCCTTGCCCCAGGGAAACTCCAATGCTGTCAGGAGCGCTGGGGAAAGGCCTGAGGGTAGTAAAGGGTTAAAGGTCTGGAGGGGTGGGGGATGCCCCCAGGGAGCTGCCAATCACCTCCCCACCCCCACCAAAGCAGCCCCCACTTCCCCAGGCTTGCCCACAGAAACAACCGGTTTGTCCATCACCAAGGTCTCTCTCGCTCTCTCTCTTTTTTCTTTCTGTCTTTGAGCGGTGGCCTCCTTTGCTCCCCCTGGAGTGAAGGCCCTGCCCCCAAAGATGGAAGAGATGGAAGAGAGGAGGGATTGCAATCTACGTCATTAAGCCTTTTTCGGTTAAGTCTTCTCCCGACTCCAGCACTGGGCTCATCTCCGAAGGATAAGGGGGAAAGGGTGTCACCCCAACCAGTTAGGTGCTGAAGATCACTGTCATTTGAGCACCTTCCGATCAGACCATAAAATGTAAAGGGGACAGACAGGCAGACGAAAGACTCGAGGCTCAATCCAGAGCCCGCAGTTTGGCTGTGGCTCCAACTTCTTCCCCTGGGCAGAAGAGCTCTCAGGCTCGGCTGAGCTCAGGGTTCCTCCAAGTTGATCCCCCAGAATTTGAGGCCAGGGGGCTCCGGCACGGCGGGACCGCCGATCTGCCACCTCCACAGCGGGTGGGCAGGCGGAGGCTTAGCGTCTCCCTGGAGGCGAAGCGAGGACGCCGGCCCTAGGTCTCCGTCCTCCCCCACCACCAAGGCCGGGGGGCAGGGGAAGCAGTCGAGGAGGCTGAAGGTACTCGTGGTTGGGAGCGTCGGCACAGGGCGACGAGGCTGCGCCCTGCGGCGCGGGGATGTCGGCCGCCGGCGTTTCTTGGCGGCTCCCCGAGCAGGCCCTTTCGCTGGCGGCCGCTCCGACCCCCGGCGCAAACTGGGAGTGTCGAGGGCAAAGCCCTTCGCATAACACCAAAGTTTCGACCGGCGGATCAGACGATCGAAATGTTCCTGGCGCAGATCGCCGGGCGCGGCCGGAGCCCCGCCGGCCGTCGAGGGGCTCCCGGCGGGTGCCTCGGGGGCGGTCTCCGGGGAGTTTCCATCCACTGCGTTCGTCGGGCCTGGCAGGGGTGGCTCCGGCGCGGCCGCGGGCTCCGCGGGCTCGGTGGAGAGGTCCGCAGGTGGCGGTGGAGGCCAAGAACTGGGCTCTTCGTGCGGACTGGCGGTGGGGCCAGCCTGGGCGTCCAGACTCGGGGCTGGCCTAGGCGGAGCCGCGGCCGAGTTGATTGGAGATTCCCGAGGGCGCCGGGGCGCCAGGCAGCGGCCCGGAGGTACGCAGGAGCGAGCGCCGAAGTGCGGGAAACTGCCTCCGCCCTCTTCCTCCTCGCCGCGGCCCCGGCACACTGCGGCGTCGGCATCCTGGCCGGCCTGGGAATTCGGCTCGCCGGACTGCCCGGCCGGTCCCGCGAGGTGCTTCAGGCCATCCGGAGCCCAGCCGCCCGTGCACTGGGGGGCGCGAGGGCCGAGCAGCAGCGGGGCCCGAGACGCCAGCTCCCCAGGCCCCGGGCCGAGAGAGGACGCCCGGGGTTTGGCAAGGGCGCAGAAGGCAAGGGCACGCAGGCACAGCGGAGAGAACTCCTGGGTCCCCCGACGCGGCTTCCGGGGTGTGGGAGAGCAGGGCGACCCTCGCGGGGACGTCGGTACTGCGAGGCGGGGAGCGGGGCACAGAGTCTCCATGGAACCGCCTGAGGGGGTGCCCACTGCGGGGGCCCTGGTCCCAGCGACGGGATGCCTTGGCTGCCCGAAGAGCCCACCGGCGAGGGGAACATCGCCCCCCCTCGACGGGGAGGTCTCTGCTCACGGGCGCCCCCGGCCCGCAGCCTGGACCGCGGAGCTCTGACTCCCTTCTCGATCTCGTCACGCGGCCCTCCGGCACCGGACTCCTGGGTCCCCGCGAGTCCCGGCGCGGTCGGCCGCCCTTCCTGCCGCCGCGTTCCCTGCGCTGCCCCAGCGAGAGCCCCGCTCGAGTAGCCCCGGGCGCAGAGGCTGGGGAAACAAAGCGGCCGACGGCCGCGGGAGGCGGGAAGGACCCCGGCCCCGGCACCCGGTGCCCGGGCCCAGGCGGCGGGGAGGGCGCCTTCCGCCCGCTCGGCTTCTTTCTTCCCCGCTGGCTCCCGGAGACCGCGTTATAGAGAACTGCCCCCTCGCTGCCCCAATACCAGCGCCGGCGCCGCGAGCCCGCCGCTGATTGGCGGTGCTGCCCGTGACGTCGGCCCGGACGCCACCCCCCCGCGGCACCGCCCCCGTCCCCATTCCGCACACAGACACACACACGTGGACCCGGCGCGGCGGCGGCTGGGAGGGAGGGAAGGAGCGAGCCGGAGCGTGCGCGGGTGGGAGCGCCAGGGGCGAAAAGCGCCGCTCCACGTGGCCCCGCGGCGTCCGGGACGGAGTCGTCGCAAGGCGATCCACCTTGCCCCCTCGCGGTCGCGGTTTTCGTGTCTGTAAAATGGGAATGCTCGGATCGCCCGCCCGGGGGGCTCAGAACGGGGGAACGCCGCCGCGGACGGCTCCCAGAAACAATGTCGAGGGGAACGATGAGCTGAAGCGAAGCCTGTGCACAGCTTTGCACAGCGAGGACCCGCGCCGCGAGAACGCTCCTTGCCGCGCTGTTTCGTCCCCCTAGAACAGAGGCAAAATATGTTGGTCCAATGAGAGAGGCTAGGGATTCAGTGTGTCCTGGGCGAACAAAGGAAAAAATAAATTCAGAGCGGCGTAGTAGTTACGCCCTGGGAAGTCAAGAAGTAGACTTTCTCAGGACCTGTATCCTTTTCTCTGACGCGATTTCTAAGTAGCCACCTGCCCGAGTTCCCAGGTACTGGCTCTGCAGCCGCCCCTCAAATCCCAAGGTTCGCCCCCAGAGGCCTCAAGTGCCAAAATGGGCTGAGGAGCGGCCAAACCGACGCTCGCTCTCTTACCTCCTCCACAGAGAGAGAAGCGAAGAAGTGGATTCCCAGTAAAAAAAAATCCTGATAGTGGAGAACACACAGTCCTACCCCTTCCCTTCTTTAGTTTTTGTAGTTATGGTTATGTGAAAGTCTGTGGATGTCTTTATTCTCTACTCTGTCTCCATTAGCCAGCCTGAAAATGAGCTGGTGAGGATTTTGTCTTATTCATTACTGCACCCCCACTGCCTAGAACAGTGTCCAGACGTAATAGGTGCTCAGTAAATAGTGGTAAGTGAATGAAGGAATCCGTGGGGTATTTCTCTCTTGATAAAAATCAGATTATTGGAATATGGCTGTCTACCATCCCCAGAGATAGAAAGAAAGAATAGTTTGCATACTGGCACTGACAACGGAAGCATTGTTTTCCAACTCGTCCTCAAATAACACTTGGAAGGAAAGCCTTAAGGAAACTCTGCATCCCCACCCCCCTTTTGCAGAGACCAGAGTTAAAGGCCTGAAGGTGGAGTTAGGTTTTGAGGAATGAGGGTGTGTGGTATTCTGTTCCTCAAAACACTTACCCCTTAAAATCTGCTGCAGAAGATTTGGGGCTATAGTCATGAGGGGAAAGCTGGGGTCTTGTGAGGTCTAGAGTTCAGAGTTCCAGAGCACCCCAAAATCTACACACACGGGAGGGAAGTTCTGGAAGGATAAGGATCTTCCTCACTGTGCCTTCTAGATGACAGTAGTAGAAACTCTTGCCCTTAGACAGCAGTGCCAGAGTTCCTTTGCTTGAGGGATAGGGGACATCTGCTTCAACACTCCACCACCACCCCCAACATCTGCTGTGGAGATGCCCGGTGAGGGGAGCTTATACCCCTGGACTGGGGAACTCCTTTTATGCCAGTCTCTACCATATTTGCTTTCCCATGCCTAGCACCATGTTGAGACAGGAGAGGACATTAAGAAACTTTCCAGTATGAATAAATGAATCTTACATAATAGTGCAGATCAATGGTTTCCTCCTATCTCAAAAGCCACCAGTCCCCCAAATCTGAATTTAGGGACTTTATTAGAGCCATCACTATTGAGAATCTTCCTCTCCTTCCACTTTCCCTTCTTCCCCTTCTTTGTATGAAGCACCTGGGAATATAGCTGAGATGGGAAAGTCTTTGTGGTCTCAGAAGCACCTTACAAACAGTAGATGTTAATGTGAGTAATTCTCCAGCTAATAGCATCTGCATTCATCGATCCTCATTTTTTCAGGAGACTTAGACTGGGGGTGCAGACAGTGCACCGTCGCAGACACTCTATATCTCAGCATCCCTGTGCTTGAAAAGGGGCGGGTAGCTCTCTGACCACCCTGACAAGAGGAAAAGTGAAGTGAGTAGTTGGCCCGTCTATTGCAATATCCGTTGCCTACAGCAGAGGGCACTGCACTCTGTCCGTAGCCTACTTCTCCCAAAGAAGAAAAAGGAGAAGGCTGGAGGCTCGGTCCCAAATGACACCTGAGTGTCAGGGACCCCCAGGGATCTGGGAGTGAGCCTTCCCCTTCTCCTGCCCTCACCCCGAGGCTTGTGATCACTGATCTGGGAGTAGGGCACCTGTCCAGTTGCCCACTCCCAGGAAGAAGGCACCGCAGGAACTGTGTCCTGCCCAATGCTTTCATTTCTATAGCATAGCCTGTTCTGATCTCTGTTCTAGTAATTTTGCTGTTTAATTCCTATAACAATTCAAGGAGATAGATGCATTTAATTTAAAGATGTTTATGTCCCATACATGCACCATTTAAAGTGTCTAATTAAATTTGCGGTTCTACAACCATCGCCACAGTCCACTTGGGGGCATTTCCTAAAGATTCCCCATTTGCAGGAACTCCCCATTGCCACCTCCAGCCCCAGGTCACACATCTACTTTGCCTCTATAGATCTGCCTTTTCTGGACATTTCATCAAATAAAACCACATATTAATCGTATGTGGTCTTTTAAATGACTCATTTAACAAAAGCATAATTTTTCTAGATGTGTCCATGTTATAGTATGAGTAGTAGTCCGCTTCTTTTTCATTGCTGAATAGTATCCCATGGTGTGGATATACCGCATTTTGTTTCTCTCATCACACTTGTGTTGTTTCCACTTTTCATTATGTTATTATGAATAATTTATGCTATTAAGTCATAGATTATATATAATTATATATAATATTGAGTAATTATTAATAATACTGTTAAGAAGGGCATGCTGGCTTACAAACCTTTGTGTGGACATGTGTTTTCATTTTTCCAAGAGTTAAGAATGAAATCTCCAGGAGTCTCCCTGGTGGCACAAGGGGTTAAGTCTCAGCACTATGAAAATACCTGCAGCACGAGTTGAGTTTGATCCCAGGCAGGGGAGATGACCCACACAGCCTGCCAGAGCAGGAGAGCTGACTCATGGCACAGCAGACCTCTTCTGACCCGCCCGCTGCTCCCCTCAGCAGTGTATTTCAGTCTATCTGTCTGTTCTGCTCCCCACTCTGTCTCTGGTGAGTCCTCCCCATCTCTGGCCTACACTCCTGCTCTTGTATGCATAAATAAATAAAATAAATCTTTGGGGGGAGGGAAAGAATGAAATCTCCAAGTCTTATGGTAAATTTTTATTGAACTGTTTAAGAAATGGCCAAATTGTTTTCCAAACTGACTAAGCCATTTTATCTTCCCTTCTATCCAGATTTAAATGAGAAAGTGAAATAAAGAAGCTCTACATGACTTTCCCAAGGTCACTGTGCTAAAAAAGTGTGAGAGCCGGGCAGCTGCGCCCCAAATCCAGGTGAAAGACCATGAGTTCACCCCATGCTGATGAGTCAGAAAGGGGAACCATTTCCCACCCACCACACTATGGCTGCAGGTCTTGCTCCTCGAATTCCAAGTCAGACTCTAGTCCCACCCATCAGGGTGTATCTTTACCAAAAGCTACACTTTGCTCTACCCCCTCTGAAAATTTGCACCCTCAAACAATAGCTTAAGTTCTTGGACTCAAATGATTCTGTTCATATTCCAAACTCATCATTTTACCAGCTATGTGATTTGAGAGTAAGTCACTTAACCTTCACTTTAGCTTCCTCATCTGTAAAACTGAAATAGCATTTTCCTTCATAGAATTACAACAATGCTTTGTTATGGGAAATTGCAAAAACTATACAACAGGAAACGGGGGTATGAGCTTTGACGCATCAATATCACACCGATATACAGTATTAACAGTATCAACTCAGAATCAATCTTATTTCTTAATCTTATATCCCTCCCATATCAACTCCCCCCTAATTTAATAAATTAATTTTATTGAGGCATGATTTACATTTTAAATGCACAGTTCATGTAGTTTTCACAATGAACACACCCATGTAAACACCACAATTAAGTTATAAAACATACTTTATATTATATCAAGCACACACCAGACATATAATTTCATTCCTAAATATTTTAATACATATTTCTACAAGATAATGACCATCTAAAAGTAAGCATGCCACCAACATTATTATCAAACCTAAAAAGATTTAACAACCATCCTGTAACATGTTCAAGTAGCCAATCAGTATTCAACTCTAATTATCTTGTGGCCTTTTTTCTTTATAATGTGCTCCATTTATTTTAATTAGGATCCAAAGAAGGATTTCAAATGTCCATATGTCTCTTAACTCTCTTTGTAATCTATAAATTCCTCTCTTCTGTTATTTTCTCCCTGCAAATTCTTCATTGACAATACCTGACTGTGATTAGATTTCCCAATGCCTAGAAATACTGATTACATCCCCATGGTGTCATTGAGTGAAGTAACAATTTCCAGCAATATTTATTTATTTTAAGATCACCTTTGGGGAAAAAAAGCTTTATTTAGTTATTTATTTATGCATACAAGAACTAGGGTACAGGCCAGAGGTGTGGGGGGTGAGAGGACCCACCAGAGACAGAGTGGGGAGCAGAACAGATGGATCTGCTGAGGGGAGCAGTGGTTGGGTCAGGGGAGGTCTGCTGTGCCATGTGGGTCAGCACTGAGACTTAACCCCCAGGCCACTGGGGAGGCTTCTGACAATATTGCTTGAGCATCTACTATGAATAGGATTGCCAAATTTATCACAAAATATAAAACATGCCTATAGTAAAAAATTATCTCTGTTCTTCAAGTGTAACTGCGCATGTGTGTGTTTTCCTGCAACCTACCTATGTGCCTATCAGT